GAACTGCTGGAACTGAGCAGGTCCGGAATAGGAATAGTTCAGAGAAGCTGGCTCAGGGCCCCAAGCTCTGTGACCTGCAAAACCTGGCTGTGATTTAGCCTTGTCCCCAGGATGCTGCATCTGTGTGTGCGGTGGGGACCATGAGGGGGGCAGGTTCTTCACTCTCTGCCATGTGAGACTAGGGTATCAAAATGGGACAACAGGCTTGGCGCTAAGCACCTTTACACCAAGCCGTCTGGTTCCCTCCACCCCACCCCACCCCGACCCCCTGTTTTGAGGCAGAGTCTCAAGTGTGCATCCGTTCTGCTTCCCATTTGCTGTGACAAGATACTCAACAAAAACCAACTTAAGGGGTGCAGAGTTTCTTCATCTGCCTCAGTTCGGGGCTATGGTCCTCAGGCTTGATGGAAGGTACCTTTACCTGCCAAGCCGTCTCGCTGTCCTGCCTTCTCCACTTTATATAGTTCAGGGTCTCTTGCTCAGGGAGTGGTCCCACACGCATGTAGATAGAGGCCTTCCTACGTCGATTTTATTCAGAATTTTTTTCTTTTCCTTTTTTTTTTTTTTTTTGCATATATTCTTGCACGCTAGCCTTGATGTGGACAACCCCTCACAGCTAGGCCCAGAGGCTTGCCTCCTAGCTGCCCAGTTGATACAGTTGATAATTAGCAATATGGCAGTATCCCAGGCTGGCCTCGAACTTGGTGTGGAGCTGATAATGGGGTACACGTCTGATTGCTCGTCTGTACCTCCTGAGTGCTGAATGTGTGTTAACATGCTTGCTTGGTTTATACAGTGCTGGGGATGGAACCTGGGACTTTGTCCAAGTTAGCTGAGGACTCTGCCAACTGAACGACGTGCCCAGCCACGAGCGAGTTTTAGTGACCAGTCTTCTTTGACTCTGACCATTCTGAGTTGGAAACCTGAGATGATCTTCTTAACTCGTCACACCACCAAGCGTGTTCCGATGGAGAGACTTTACCATTTAGACACAGGGGAGATGGCTCAAATGTTTAAATGCTTGCCACACAAGCACTAGGGCCTGGGTTCAGATCCCCGGCACCCGTGGACCATTGTAAGGATTCAGGCACTATGCTGGCCTATGCCTGTCACCTGGCAGAATGCACTCAGGCAGTACCCTGGTCAGCCCAGGGCTCCAAGGTTGCACAGTCTGCACGCAGATGCAAAGGACCCCTTTAAAAGACAGACCCTCGTCCTTGTAGGGTCTCTCTTTCTGACTCCTCTCTTTCCTGCTGTTCCCCTGGGGCAGTCAGGACTTTCCCTGTCTCCGTCTTCTCTTCTGTCCTCTCTCTGTTTCTGTGTCTCTTTAGCTGAATTGGTGAGTTCCCGGTGCAGGGAGAGGCCCCATCTCAAAGAATAAGGTGGCAAGTGATTGAGGAAGACGCCCAAATTTGACCTGTGACACACACACACACACACACACACACACACACACACACACACGGGGTCTGGGCGGGGGAAGAATTCACATTCAGAAGATCTGTATTCCTTCTTTCTAAATAGTGGCAAAAGATACATGTTAAAAATTTGTTTATCATCTTACTAATTTAAAAATATTTACTTAAGGATATAGCGGTACGTGTCTTTAATACCAGCACCCAGGAGGTAGAAGCCATCAGAACTCTAAGTTCAGGACCAGCCTGGTCTACACAGTGGGTTCCAGGAAAGCTACAGAGTTGAGACCTTGTCTCATTTTTGAGACTTATAAATAAGGTCTACTTATTTATCTGTGGTGCGTGCGTGTGTGCATGCATGCGTGCATGTGTGTGTGTGTGTGTGTGTGTGTGTTCTTGATTATATACTAGAGGCATGTCATAATGCATGTGTGGAAGGCAGAGAATAGCTTTCAGGAACTGGTCCTTCCCCACCTTGCTGATACAGGGTCTTCCTTGTTTCTGCCATGATGGCGCATAGTCTAGGCTAGCTGGCCAGTGAACTTGGAGGCACTTTTCTTCTCTTATCATAGTGTGTGTGTGTGGGGGGGAGGGGTTACAATTCATGCCACTACATCTGGCTTTTCACATGGGACCCAGGGACCAAATCAGGCTGTCAGGTTTGCACAGCGTGGGCTCTTCACCCACTGAGTGTATTCTCCATTCAGAGAGAGAGCAGCGATCTCTTTTTCTGGCTATGTTATGGTGGTGTTTTTGTTTTGTCTCATGTTGTTTCGAGACAGGGTCTCTCACACTGCCCAGTGGACCAGGAGCAGGTTGTGGCAGTTGAATGCCTCAGCTTCCTGATTCCTGGGGAATCGAACCCAGGTCCTTTGGTATGCTAGCTGGCACTCTACCCTCTGAGTTACATCCCTAGTACTGCCTCACAGCTCAGTAATGCTGCATGTATTCGTGTGGTTCTATCACTAATCTCCCGAACACCTCAGAACCTTGCAAAAACTGAAACACTATCCACCAAACCTTTCTCCCGTCCCCCCCCCCCCTTGCCACCCCTTTTTCTCTTCCATCTGTGTTTGTCACTTTGATTTCCCCTCGTGCCACATGCAAATTTTTACCACATTTGAAATTTAAGATCTTTTCCCTTTATGCTGTTTTGTCTTGTTGACTGTGTCCTTTGCCTTACAGAAGCTTCTCAGTTTCAGGAGGTCCCACTTATTAATTGTTGATCTCAGTGTCTGTGCTACTGGTGTAATGTACAGGAAGTGGCCTCCTGTACCAATCCCTTCAAGGGTATCTCCCACTTTCTCTTCTAAGAGGATCAGAGTGGCTGGATTTATGTTGAGGTCTTTGATCCATTTGGACTTGTTGTTTTTGTTGTTTGTTGTTGTTGTTTTGTTTTGTTTTTCGAGACAGGGTTTCTCTGTGGCTTTGGAGACTGTCCTGGAACTAGCTCTTGTAGACCAGGCTGGTCTTGACTTAAGTTTTGTGCATGGTGATAGATATGAATCTGTCTGCAATCTTCTACATGTCAGCATCCAGTTATGACAGTACCATTTGTTGAAGATACTTTCTTTTTTTCCTTTGTATAATTTTAGCTTCTTTGTCAAAAAACAGGTATTCGTAGGTGTGTGGATCAATATCAGGGTCTTTAATTCAATTCCATTGGTCTACCTGTCTGTTTTTGTGCCAATACCAAGCTGTTTTCATTACTATAGCTCTATAGTATAGCTTGAAGTCAGGGAAGGTGATGCTTCTGGAAGTTCCTTTTTTTTCCTTCCTTCCTTTCTTCCTTTCTTTCTTTTGTTTGTTTTTTTGAGACAAGGTTTCTCTGTGTAGTCCGGGCTGTCCTGGAACTCACTCTGCAGTCCAGGCTGGCCTCAAACTCAGAGATCCGTCTGTCTCTGCTTCCCGAGTGCTGGAATTAAAGGCCTGTGCCACCACTGCCTGGCTTTAAACTTTTTTTTAGTGTTCACGTATATGTATATATATGTGTGTGTGTGAGGGAGAGACCATGCTTGTACCAATGCAGGGGGATGAAGCAGGGGGCCAACTTTCTGGAGTCATTTTTCTGCTTCATCATGTGGGTCCCAGGGATTGAACTCAGATCCTAAGGCTTGGTGGCTGGCACCCTTATGTTATGAGCCATCTCAACAGCCAAATCACACAGCTTTTGTCTGTGCCGCTGGCTTATTTCCCATCTCATCATGACCTCTAAGTTCGGCTATGTTATACAGAGTTTAGATGTTTTTCTTTTTTTATTACATATACTAATGATACACCATGATGGGTTAATTTTGACAGTTTCATACATGTCACAATTCCATTTCTAGATCGAAATTTGCTGTCATGATTTTTTTTTTTTTGCTTGTTTGAGTTTTGTGTTTTGACACAGGGTTTCTCTATGTAGCCCTGGCTGTCCCTATGTATGTCAGGATGGCCTAACATTTACAGAGATCCTTCTGCCTCTGCCCTGAGTATCAGGAAGGCATGCACTACCATGCCTGGCGTGGTACTGTTTTTTTTTGTTTTGTTTTGTTTGTTTTGTTTTGTTTTTTGAGACAGGGTTTCTCTTTATTGCTTTGGAGGTTGTCCTGGAACTCGATCTGGAGACCAGGCTGGCCTCGAACTCACAGAGATCTTCCTGCCTCTGCCTCCCGAATGCTGGGATTAAAGGTGTGTGCCACCAACGCTTGGCTGTGGAGTGGTTTTGAAAACTGTCTTGGAGAGCCCAAGTTGAGTCAGGAGCGGGCTGAGATGAGCTTGATC